CCCTGTTAGCTGCAGCTGCTCCTCAGAAATCAGGCCCCATTGTCTCAAGGACAGTTTGAGGTGGGGCCTGGTGCTTCAGTGAAACTGAAGGCTGGGGTGGGCGGCCCCCAGGCCCTGAGCACAGCAAGAGCCACCAAGTTTCTTGTCCTACTTGCAGATCTACAACCTGGGCACAGGCAGTGGTTACTCTGTCCTGCAAATGATCCAAGCCATGGAGAAAGCATCGGGAAGAGAGGTACGGTGCTAACCCAAGCCCCCTGGCCCTGCATGAGCCGCGCTTTCCAGGGCATCTTTCTTCCTCTTATGCTGGTAAAGCAGCAGCCAGGGCAGCTGTCCCTGCTTCCAGCCTGGGGGAGCTGCTGCCTTGAGGTCTGCGGGGGCAGGTTGTTAGCTACATGGGACTGTGCCTTGTGCTGAAGTCGGGGACCCCCCCCCGCAGCCCATCATGCAGTGAAGTTCTGGGACTGTCGCCCCCTGACACGTTGCTTTCCTTTCCTTTCAGATAAAGTACAAGATCACTGCACGGCGGGAGGGGGACATCGCCGCCTGCTACGCTGACCCGGCCCTGGCCGAGCAGGAGCTGGGCTGGAAAGCTGCCTTTGGGCTGGACAAGATGTGTAAGTGCAACCCCTCCGGGCATGCTCTGACCTACCCCCACCCCTCACTCTATCTGGGCCTCCTCTGGCCCCTCCCCGTGACTCTTGGGGGAGGGGAGCATGCAGGGCATCATTCAGTTTTATGCCCATTTGTCTCCACCTTCCTTTAGCTCTCGCCAGAGCTGCTTCCTTGTCCTGGTCCCTTAGCTGCTGCGCTGGGGGGAGGCTGGCACCGGGGATTGGTGCGAAGAGTCACTGACACACCTGCAGGAACTAGAGGGTTTGATTCAAGACTCTTGCATTGGCCCTGGAGTTACAGCCACCAACGCTCCCCCCAGCTGGCTTAGTCCAGCCACAGCCTGAGTCTCTCTCTGTGTCTTGCAGGTGAAGATTTGTGGCGGTGGCAGGTGCAGAATCCTACAGGCTTCAGCAACAACTAGAGCGTCGGCCCCGGGGAGCAGCCAGGATGGTGCCGGCCTGCCAGAGTCTTGGTCCCCGGGGAGCTGCCGTTGCTTTCTCTCCGGGGGGCCAGCTTGAGTCGTACTGGGCCTGTGACATTTTCCCACCTTTTAACCAGAAGCTGACTTTACTCATGGCACGGGGCAGTCAAGAAGCAGCCTAGGGCCTGGCCTGGCCTTCGGGGGGAGGGAAGCCCCGGGCTCTACAGCAGCAGAGGGCTGAGCAGAACTTGCACAGCTTAAAACATCGCAGCACGATTCAGTGGAGTCCCTCCGAGAAGGAACAGAACCCCCCCCCCCCCAAGCCCTGCAGGGCTCTGGCACGGAGGGGCTTGCTCCTTCCCTCATTGCAGAGATGGTCGCTGAGCACGGGCCCTTCCCTCTCACCTACCTCACAAGGACAGGACACCACACACACTCTGCAGCTTCCCAAGGGCCAGGCCATCTCGGCAGCATTTTCGTATACACGAGCCCATCCTGCCCCCGGGTCCTATTCCCCTGTGCATGGGAACATCTTCCCCACTCCTGGGGGGGGGGTTTCCATCTTCCACCCTCGGGGCTTGTGCACTGCCCTTTCCCTTCCCCCTGGAGCAGTTTGCTCCCTGCCTCAGTTCCCTCACCCTTGCCTGGAAGGGACCAAATGAGAGTTTTATTGTGTCTGGCGGACACAGGAGCCAGGGCTTGGTGCTGACGAGTCCGTTGTGTCAAACTGCGCTGAGCTAGCATATGGCATTGAATGGCCGGGCGCGGCTTAGTCACTAACTCTCGTGGGACAGAGCGTGTACGTGACAGGAAAATCACCAGCCCTTCATGGCTGCGGCAGCTATTTACTTACAGTCAGACTCACCGAAGCCTGCCTGGAGCAACGGGTTGTTTTCGTAGCTCCTAAAGCTTTTCTTTATTACAGCAAACGCTGGGAGCGAGCGGGAACACGGGCCAGTCTGTTGCGCTCCCACTTCCTACAGCTCACAACTGATGCTACTGAATGATGCATTGAGAGTTTGACTTGCCTCAGGGGCCAGCGTGATTCAAACTGTTCCCGCCTTAGAGACGAGGTGGCACAGAGCTGCGGTGCCCCAGGATCTCGTTGCATTAAAGAGACCGGCTCAACGGCTTGGGCGAGGTTTACGTTTTCTTTAATCTCATATCCAAGGGTGTGGAACACAAACCCTCCCCAAGGAAGACAGAGAACTAAAAGCCATTTTCAGGAATGGACAGAAGCTTCTTTCTCTCTCCCCCTGAGGCCTCAGCAGCCCCCTGGCCCAGAGGAAGTTGCTGCTGACACAGGGAGAGAGCAGCTCCGTGGAATGCTCTGAGAACAGGCCAGTACTTTCAACCAAACTGTACATAAGAATGAACATGAGGCCCAGCCCCCAGCCAGCCAAGATGCAGAATGTTCCAATTCACAGTCACAGAATCAGGTAGAGCTGCATTTCCCCCTGCCGCTGCCTCAGCCCAGGGAAGGGGCAGCTTTAAACAGACACGAGGAGGAGAAACAGAAGGGCTGTGTCCAAAATGAGAAGAGCTAGTCGTCCCGCCTCCCCCCACCCGCAGCTCCCCCAGGCAAACAGCGACATAAGTAAATCTTTTAAAAAATGGGTCCAACATGATTGAGTCTCTCGAGAGGGTTATTGCTTTGTGCAGCGCTGGCGGGCTGGGCAAGCCTAGGACACACAGCTGCATCCATGGACCAGGGTCGAGCCCCCTTTTCTCCTGCCTCTGTGAAGCTGCAACCCAGCTCTTTCCTGGAGGGGGTGGGGGGGTCCCCATTTAGGCTGGGCCTGAGTCAGTTCCACTGCAATGCCCTGCTCTTGCTGGGACTGCAGAGAGACCCCTGCTGCTGCTGTGAACAGCCAGCCCTGCCTCCACCCTGGGAGCTCACAGCAGGCCCCAGTGCATCCCCAGGGCAGTTCTAGCCCTGACCATGCAGGGGGCAGACTGCAGCCCATGCAGCCTTGCTGGCTAAGTCTATGCTGGGGAGGGGTGGGGGGGTTCAGCTGATGGAGACAGCGACTGCAGGAGGAATAAGGAATTCAGCCCTTAGCCTAAAAGGTTTCTTTAAAAGACATTTACAGCTTGATTTCCAGACCCCACTTATGCTCCAGCTGATAATGCAGCGGGCAGAGCCCACGGGGGGAGAAGGCCTGTGCTGCTCAACAGCAAACACCCTCTGCCTGTTCAGGGAGAGGCCAGCCCTCAGCTGGAAGGGGTGCGGGAGAGGAGGATGGATCCTCTGAGGGAGAGAGAACGGGTCCTCTGCTCTGCCTGCCAAGATACATCAGCCAGCACTGGATGCCACATCCCCTTATCCCTGTGCCAGCACTAGGGGCTCAGCTGAACAGGGAGGAAGGACCCAGCCTTCCATGGAGAGGGCCAGGGCCCCTGTGGCAAAGGCAGGCGATTCCACCCCCAGCTCTTAGGGATGCTCTCGCCTTCCCTGCTGGGACGATCCCCGCCTGGGGCCAGCAGGCTGCTGCCTACGGGCAAGCACGCAGAGCCCTCAGGGCAATGTGGGCATAGCAGCGACTGGCCCCAAGGGGTGCTCCGGGACTGGCAGCCCCCGGACAGTGGGAAAAGGCTCTCCAGCATTTGCCCTTAAAGAAGAGGCCGAGGAGACAGCTGAGCTGACGTGGGCAATTGCAGATGCTGGTGAGAGGAGGAGGCTGGGAACGAGTCTCCTTCCTGCATCTATCCCAGCCCAGGACAAGAGCATCGGCTGGAGCTTTTCCTTCTGTCCTTCACCTGACCTGACCCTGCTGTGAGAGGAAGGAGTAGCAGCAAGAGACGCTCCTGACTGGGCCGGCCCCCAGGGCAGCTCTCAGGGGAAATACACTAGGAAGCTGGCTGTAAACTGCAGCGATTTGTCTTTGCCTCCTTGCCTAGCTTCTAGCAGCGCGGCGATGAGAGGAGACAGACGCGCGGGGATGCCCCAGCACGCAGAACGGAGAGGATTGTAAAAAGCAACAGAAGGAGAAGGAAATCCCTCGATTATCTCTAGAACAGCTGAGCCGCTGCGCCCTGGCAGCGGAGACACAATCAGACGCAGTGTGGAGCCCGTGGGCATGGCTGCCTTCCTCTTGTGGGGTGTGCGTGTAACAGAGCACATGGCAGGAGGGGGGGTGAGCGTGGAGAACGTAGGTAGCTACTTTCCAACCCACGTGTGCTGCCAGCTCCCCGAGCTGTGCTGCTGGGAGAGGGAGCAGAGTTTAAGGTACAGTCCCAGTGGTTTAAGGTACAGTCCCAGTGTAGCGCTCTCTGGACCAACGGCCCCTGAGCTGGGAGGCTGATTTGTTTTAAAAACCTCGGAATCGTCCCGCCATGGAGACCAAAGGACGGTGCAGCTGCCGAGAGGCCATGACCCCACTGAGCCGCTCCCCAGCCACGCTGGGCCACACAGCAGGGTCATCGGGCCTTTCTAGGTAGCTTTGCAAAGCTCTCGAGCTCAAGCCCAGGGGACCATGGGCCAGCAGCCCCCCGCGATCCCAGATATCTCCTGCTTTCCAGGGGAGGGACTCCCTGCTAATACTGTAACAGGAGAGAAAAGCCAGGAGACCATGGAAATCAGCCTGAGTTAGTGCTGAACCTACCTCCACAGCCGGGTCTGATACAGGAAAATCAAGGGGATCGAAATCCTCAAGGGGAAAACAAGAGAGCGAGAGATAAGGCCACCCTGGACTTGGGACAGTCTCTACCTTAAACAGCTCCACTCTCAACTCAGGGAGCACCGGGGAGCAACACCCCACACGCCTGAGGGACCGTGGTGCAGAAGAGACAGGAGAGGGAAGGATTGAAGGGAGGGAAAACAACTGGAGTTGAGGTTGGTTGCCATGGCTTCCGTTTGCAGCAGACAGGATCAGTGGGAAAGATCAGAGGTGGTGACCTTGCGTCCTTTCCCTGCGACAGTCTCGAGTGGCTCTGCTTAGATCCGGGGCAGCAGCTTCTCAATGAATTCCTTCACCGCCATCATCTCCTGGACACAGACCACAGGAGCCCGTCACCCACGGGGCCTGCCCCGGTGCCCGCAGAGGAGCGTCCCGCAGGGGCAGGGCCTAGGGCTGGGAGGACACTGCAGGGGGTGCCTTGGGCCCAGCTTTTCAACAGCCCAAGGGCAGACGCTGCCATTGCAGACAATCCCCTGAGGTGGGTGCTCCTTGGGCAGTGAGCAGCGCAAGCCCCCAACCTGAATGAGGGAACAACCCCCAAGCTAGAAGGAGGGGCTGGTGCTCCCCAGGTTCATTCAAATCTAGGCTTCTACACCCTTCGCTGGGACCATCTCCCCCCTCCTGGGGCCAGGGAAGTTCGGGGCCCATAGCCACCTTCCCCCACTCCAGGCCTCATTGCAAAGGCCATTGCGCTCACCCCGGACTCGTGATCCGGAGCCGTGGCAGCTAAACTGCAGCCCCAGCCACCCTCCTCTTCAAGACAAAGATGCAGCCTTCACATGGTACAGATCCCAGCCTGCAATGCACCACCATGAGCCAAGCAGCCCTCTGATTGGATCCCACCAGGGCACTGCATGCTGGGATCTGTAGTCCATGCAGTCCACATCTACAGGAAACGTGAGGATGGGCACAACCTGCTCCATGTTGTGCGGCCCGCAGGCTCAGGCGCGATACCCAGATGCCCCTGACCCCAGCCCTCTGCGCCTGCAGCTGACTGACCTGAGGGCAGGAGCTGTGCATCATTCCAGGGTAGGTTTTGAATTGAACCTTGGTGGGGGTGACGACGGATTTCAGCTTCTCGGCGGTGAGGGCTCCGAAGCGGACAGGGATCATGGGGTCCATCTCCCCGTGACACTGCAGGATGGCGATATCCTTGTTCACACCGTTGCTCGCTGCCTGCAGCACAAAGGAGAGGGCTTAGCGGTGCCAGGGCATGGCGGGATGCCTGGCTGGGGAGCAGATGAGTGATTGATGCAGTGTCCTGCCTACGGCCAACCTGTGCCATCACCCCCAGTGCCACCGACTCCGCTGGGGTGCTTGCTGTCCGCAGCCCCAGGTGGAGTTTGCTGAGTAAGAAGGTTCTGTGATGGGCAGCAGCAAAGCCCCCTCACCCCCCCCCCGATCTACTCACATCCCACATGGTGCCTTAGCAAATAACAGACCCAGAGGCAGACAGACAGAGCGCCGGTACCTGAGGGAAGGCCTTGTGCAGCGGGAGCCAGCAGCTGAGAGCCACGATGCCAGCCAGCTGGTATTGGGAGGTGAGCGCCGTGTAGAGCGATAGGGCACCGCCCTGGAACATACCAAGCACAGGACCATGCACTAGAGCTGCTGCCTGGAGCTGCAAGCCCAGCGGAGTCCAACCCAGAGAGGGGAGCCCCCCCACCCCCCTTCCCGGTGCAAGCGACACCACCTCCTCCCAACCAGGGGCCCTGCCCCCTGGTGTATAACTACATGCACAAACCGCCCCGGGAGGACATGGTCCCCCTGCTTGGTGAATGAAGCTGAGAAAGCCACGGAGTCTAACCCAGCCATCCCCCTGCACCAACACGGCCAGGGAGCTGGATCCAGGCAACGCTGCTGTTCCTATTGGACAGCTGGGCTGGACCAAGTCCCCGGCCCCAGCCTGTACCATCAGTGCTCACCTGCGAGAAGCCCCCGAGGATGATGCGGTTGGGTGGGATGCCATTCTTGATCTCGTGCTCGATAACTGCTTTAACTGGAAGAAGCCAGAGAGAGGTGGGTCAGCTCAGGATGGCCAGGGGGTCCTACAGTGTCACACGGGAGCTGGGATCTGCGCAGGGCAGAATCAGGGCAAGGCCCTGGGTGAGTTCTCCACACATGGCAGAGGACACAGGCACAGAAAATCTGAGATGAGGGACAAGGGAAAGGACGGGAGGAGCAGAGGCAAAGGCAGAAGCGAGAATAGATCCTGCTTGTCTCCAGGAGAACAAGAGGCCGTGGTGAGCCAGGTGGAAAAGGGATGAAGACAGGGCTAGACAGAGGCTGGGGAAAGGCCTTCAGCCCTACTCCTCTTACGGTTTTCAGCTGCTTTCTTGATTCCAGCTTCGTCCTCAGGTGCGTCCGGACTCAGCCCCATCAGATCGAACCTGGAAGGGAACCCAAGTGAGATCAGCCCCCTCCTCACTCTCCCAGTGTCCATGGCACAGGGG